TACCACCAATAGCAACCTCGACACCAAAATTTCAAATTATCAACATCTGTCTGTTCTACCAAAACGGAATTGTACCAAATTTAGTACCATTTAGTACAGTTTTTACACTTAGTGCACATTTTAAAAATCCATTTCCTTATATCATCCCCATTTCCAAAAATCGATTCTCATATCAAATTTCCAGATATTACCACATCCCTTTACATAATTCCAAGTGGTACCAAATTTTGTGCATTTTGGTACTTTTGGTACACACATTGTTGGATTAAAAAAAAAAAAACCTTTTGTTTATATCCTACACAACATCATAGACTTTGACTCCTTATTTCAGATTTCCAGCTCTTTTCCGTCCCCAAATACCATACATACCATTTATTTCTGTTCGTACTTTTTTTCCAAATCTCCCGCCATGTACCAACCAAACTCCATAAAAGATGATCCTAATTCCAAATTTTAGACTTCCAACTCGGTCCCTTGCTCAAAAATCAAATTAAGTACCATTTAGTACTTTAGTATTGTTCGTAAATTTTAGTACCTATTTCCAAATCCCCCGCCACGTATCAACAAAGCCACGCAAAAGTTGAATCTAATGCCAAATTTTAGACTTCCAACTTAGTCCCTTATCCAAGTACCAAATATATTACCATTTAGTACTGTTCATACTTTTTAGTACGTATTTCCAAATTTTCTGCCATGTATCAACCAAACCGCACAAAAGGTGTTCCTATTGCCAAATTTTAGACTTCCAACTCAATACCTTACAAGAGAACCAAATGAAGTACATTTAGTACCTTTCAAACAATCCCTTACACAAGTACCAAATGAAGTACCATTTAGTATTTATTACTGTTGGTACTTTTTAATACGTATTTCCAGGTCCACCGCTATGTATCAACCAAAGCGCACAAGAGGAGATTCTAACGCCAACTTTTAGACTTCCAACTCAGCCCCTTAGCCAAGTACCAAAATTTAGTACCATTTGGCACTTTTTAGTACGTATTTGCAAAACGAAATCTCAACCCTACACAGTAAAAGTGATGATCCTAATGCCAAATTTCAGATTTCAAGCAGTATCAGTTCACGCAATACCAAATTTAGTACCTTTCGTACGATTGATATTAACCCTACAAACCAACAGAGACCCCAATACCAACATTTTAAATTTTCAGATCAAAATCGTCCACCCCAACCCAATTTTGTGCCGAATCTAGTATCATTTAGTATAGGTTTTACACTTAGTACACTTTTCCAAAAATACCTACTGAGATAAGGTTGGATTTACGGAAATTCAAACTAGAAGTCTACAAAAAGCACTACATTTTGGACCTTTTGGATGCAGCCTTATCTCACCCCTATCCACCAACATTGACCCTCATGCACAAATTCAGATTCTAGCTTTTGCCGTTTCCTCTGGCCGTTGATGAATCGCTCAGTCATATATATAATTATAGATTATTTTTTTCATAAAATTCACCTATAATTGTTCTACGAGTCCTTTAGAAAAAATTTTTTAAAAATTCTCAAAAAAAAAAAACAAAATCATATTTCCTATTTTAATCCCAATGGTTTGCCTTGTAAATGTAGCATTTCCATTCTCTTAATAATCCAAAAACAGCTGGTATCCTAATTCTTTTTCTTTATAGTTCTTACATTCCCACATAAAAAAAGTTTAAGTCCATATTTTGGTTCCAACCAAAATCTGCAACCATGCACTGACCAATTGTCATTAACCACGAATGTTTGTTTAAACTTTTCAAACATCAAACATTTTTCCTAACTTTTCAATTTTATACCATTTATAATGCAATTTTTATCTCTCTGTACAGTCAAAAGCGGAACATTATTCATGTGGTTGCTGGAATTTGAATCGACAAAACCAAGAAAAACCTCCGGAAAACACAAAAAGGCAAGAAAACTGTGATAAATTTTCCCAAGTAGCTTTAGCTTTATTTTAGAACCGCATACACACATAAATCATTTTGGAAACTTTTAATATTTTCTCTACCAACAGTTTTTTTCTTTTTTTTTCGGGTTACTCTGATGACTTTAGATATCAGATGTTTGGCAACTTTTTAAGCAACCTCTAACTCCTCCCCTTGCCCCTCCTTCCTTCTTTTCCAAAAAGAACGAAGTTTGAAATTGCATTGAACTTTTATTCAAAAAAAAAAAAAAAAAAAGAAAAAAAATGGGAAAAAAACTAAAACGCATAAAACTTGATACTTTTATTGCATTGCAGATCTGTTTAATGGCATGGAGGATAGTCAGGATAATGTCAAAGCTATCAAAGGGAAATTGTGGATGTGGTTAAATGGAATGATGTTTGGGAAACAAACTTTGCCAACAGAAAATCGAAAGTTTGAAGGAACAAAATACAAATGATGTTTGCAGATGTTACGGATATTAAAGGTGGTGATTGGAAAAACAATTACTAGAATAATAAAATATTTTTTAAAGGATTTTCGGAGCCATAAATTTGTAGTTATTAAAGAATATTATTTAAGGAATTTTAAGTTTTTTTTTTTAAAACAAATCATTTTTTAAATTTATGTTGAATTCAGGAAAAATATTCTAAAAATACTCTAAAAAATGTGCAAAAAACCTATGTTTGTCTGGAAAATATTTAAACAAAAATCCATATTATATCCTTATAATAACATTCTAAAAAAATCCATCATAAGACCTAAAAAAATATAGCCCTTAAATATATCATCAGAAAATTTACTTCAGTCCTTTAAAATATATCCAAAAAAAAAAACTCCCATTTATTCCTTGGGGAAAATCTAAAAAATACACGAAAATGTATTCTCGCAGGTCGAAGTTTAACTTCTGTTTTTTTTTTTTTTTGTTTTCAAAAAAAATCTTAATAAATCCACGAACACACGTATAAGGTTAAAAAAAAAAACTTTATTGTCTTTATCCTTGCAATATATTTTGGAAAAATCAAAGTCCTTGAAAAAATCAACGTCCTTGGAAAAGTATTCTTTAAAAAATGTACGTCCTTGAAAAAAATAATACAGGTTTTGGGCTCAAAAGGTACGCGTTTATATCTTAAAAAGTCCTTGTAAAAATATTCTTGGAGACATCAAAGCTTAATACTTAAAAGGTCCTTGGACAAATATTCTTGGTGAAAATATAGTTTAGTGTTCAAAAACTCCTTGGGCAAATATTCTTTGAAAATTCACTTTTACGACTTTAAAAGTCCTTGAAAAAAAATCACAAAAAAATCCAAGTTTCCTTTAAAAAATATTCTTTAAAATATCAACGTTTATGGCTCAAGAGATCCTTACAAAGATATCCTTAAAAAAAGCTCACAACGTTCTTGAAAATTTTTCTTAAAAAATCCAAGTTTAAGGCTCGAAAGGTCCTTGAAAAAAATATTTTTTAAAAAATCCACATTTAAGGCTCAAAAGGTCATTGAAAAAATATTTGAAAAAATTGAAAAAATATTAGTTTAAAAAATCCACGTTTATGGCTCTAGAGTTCCTTTGAAAGATATCATTGAAAGATCCATGATTGAGGCTCAAAAGGTCTTTTTTTTTAAAAATGCACGTTTAAGGCTAGAAAGGTCCTTAAAACAAAATTCTTAAAAAAATCCACAAATCCTCAAAAGGTCCTTCAAAATAATATTCTTTAAAAAATCCAAATATCCTCCAAAGGTCCTTGAAAAGAAATATTCTTCAAAAAATCTACGGTTAAGGCTCAAAAGGTCCTTGAAAAAACATTCTTTAAAAAATCCTCAAAAGGTCCTTGAACAAAATATTCTTTAAAAAATCGACGTTTAAGGATCAAAAGGTCCTTGAAAATAAACGTAGATTTGAAAGGATAATACTTCAATTGCTGGGCCAGCAGTCAAAAATCACCTTTAAGCCAATAATTGTGGATTTTAAAGACTTCTTCCCTCAAGGAGGAATTTAAAAATAATACTTTTTTGCAAGAACTTTTTGGCCAATAATCCTGAACTTTTGAGGACCGATTGTCTCGGATTTTTAAAAAATATATATATTTTTCAGGATATAAGAATAGACTTTATAGAATATTATTTTTCCAAAAATCCTCCTGCTTTAAAAAATCACGTTAGTAGATTTTTGAAGAATATTTTTAACAGACTTACTGACCACACTTCTTTTTAGCAACCAACTGAATTTCTTGCAGAACTTGTTTCAAAGATATATTTTTTCGAGGACCAACTAACGAATCATCGTGAATTTTTAAGAGAATATTTGTCGAGGACAAAACCGAGCAATAATCGTGGATTATATAAAAATAATTTTTTCAAGGGCCAACCGTCTAATAATACGAACTTTTTTAAGAATTATCTTTAAGCATATACCTGAACTAAAATTTTTAGATTTTTGAAGAATTTTTGTGCAGAACCCACTGACAAATATTTGAGATTTTTTAAGAGTATTTTTTTTTTAACATACCTGAACAATAATTGTGGATTTTTGAAGAAATTTTTTAAGGAGCACAACCTACGTATAACCATGGACCTTCCCAGAAAATTTTCTTTTGTTGGATTTTGAAAATTCGCGATTATTGCTCAGAATGTCCTTGATCATACGTAGGTTATGCTCTTCAAAAATATTTCTAAAAATCCAAAATTACAGTTCAGGTATGTCCTTGAAAAATATTCTTAAAAAATCAGGATTGTTAAAAGCTTATATTTATTTAAGCACCAATTGTCTTGGATTATTTAAAAATATTTTCCGGAATATAAAAATGTTTTTGAAAGAATATTTGATTTTCAAAAACTCCTTCTGCTTTGTCTCTATTTTACCTCCTTAATTAATGAATATTATCCCCATATCTTTGGACATTTATGGCACATGTAATGCCGGCAGTTAACTTCGACGTGACTCCATTCAATTGCGTAATAATGAACTCGTCTTATTTATAATACACTTACGAAAAAGTTGTTACAGTAAATTTTCTTTTCTTCATTTCACTTTAATGGCATTAACATATTTTTCTCTTGTACTTTTTTCTTTCTCTTCTTACAGGTGAACAATTGTTGAGAACAAGACAAAGCCAAGGATCTGAAGTCGATAGCGAGCTGCAGCAGAAAAAAAACAGACGAAGAAAACTGGAAAACGATTTCAGGCAACAAACCGTTCAACAAGCGAATTAAACGAGGCCAATGAAAGTTAGCGATAACGGGGCACACACATACAAATATCGCAGGAGAAGTGGGTATTCATAAAAAGTTATTAAGGCGAGCACACGCACACACATACGCTACCAGCCAAGGATACTTGCAGAATTTCACACAGGTGATTCAGTAAAAAATTGAGGAAAGGTATACAAGAAAATAGATTCGGAAAAAAAGAAAAGAAAATTCGGTGGAAGGAGAAGTGAAAGCAAACAAGGCAATGCAAAATGTAATATACCAAAGTGCAATCCATCACATTATGGATAATAATGATGGAGGTGGTGGTGGTGTTGGTGGTGATAACGATTATGAGGACACCCACAATGATAATTATGTTAGCCATCTCGGCCAAGATGTGGAAGAAAATGTAAATTTCCAACTTCATACTCGAATGACCAAATGTGTTGGCCAAGCCAAAAGTAAACGAAGACGAAGTGATGGTTTCGCCCAGATTCAGTCAAGCAATAATAATTGGCATAATTTCAGTAGGAGCAGGAGTAGTCAGCCACCTGCCTCAATGTCATCCCACCTTTTACGTGCAATAACCACAGCAGCAGCAACTATTGCCTCGGTGACGGCGGCGGCCACCACCACTGCAGAAACCATGGCGTCATCATCATCATCCCCCCCTGGAGAGGAAAGGCTCAAATTCGTTTATGACAACTCAGCTGCCATGGATGAGAACATCATTAATAATACCCTAATTTATGGTACATCACTGTCAGGCGTTTCGGCAGCCACATCGTATATGCTATTAAATGACTCATGGCTCAATGCCTCATCGCCTTTCTCAGCATCGTCGTCGTCATCCTCTTCCTCATCTTTAGCCACATCCATTGCACCCGCTTTGTCCACCTTGAATACGGAGGGCGTTAATGTCACCTCTACGGCCAATTTCGATGATGATTGGTCCCACTTCAATGATCTCATTTTATCCTGGCAAGGTGTTTGTCTGATTGCCGTCTTCTGTGTCTTAATTGTGATCACCATTATTGGTAATACGCTGGTCATAATGGCCGTCATTACCACGAGACGCCTTAAAACGGTTACCAATTGTTTTGTGATGAGCCTGGCGGTGGCCGATTTTCTGGTGGGCATATTTGTAATGCCACCAGCCGTGGCGGTGCATTTGATAGGTAAGTGACGGAAATTAAAATGATTTTTAAAATATTTTTTTTGAATTTTTATTATGTTATTATTTTTTTAAAAACATTTTTTAAGTGTTTTTCAATTTTTTAAAATTAAGTAGATTATAAAAGTAGATCTAAAAATTATAAGGCACATGTATCGCGTTCTGAAAGATTAAAAAAAATATTTTTTCTAGGATCCCAAAAAACCTGGATTTTTTAAAAAATATTTTTTCAAGGATCTTAACAAGCGTGGATTTTTTAAAAAAATATTTTTTTAAGGATCCCAAGAAACGTGGTATTTTAAAAAAATATTTTTTTAAGGATCCCAAGAAACGTGTATTTTTAAAAAAATAATTTTTTGAAGGATCAAAGCAAACGTGGATTTTTTAAAAAATATTTTTTTAAGGATCACAAAAAACTTTGGTTTTTTAAAAAATATTTCTTCAAGGATCACAACAATTGTAGGTTTTTTAAAATATATTTTTTAAGGAAAGCAGCGAACGTGAATTTAAAAAAAAATTAAAGGATCTTAATAAACGTGGATTTTTTAAAATATATTTTTTAAGAAAAGCAGCGAACGTGAATTTAAAAAAAAATTAAAGGATCTTAATAAACGTGGATTTTTTAAAAAATATTTTTTCCAGGATCTTAACAAACGTGGATTTGTTAAAAAATATTTTTTTCAAGGATCTTAATAAATGTAGATTTAAAAAAAAATATTTTTTTAAAGATCCCAACGGACGTGGATTTTTTAAAAAAATATGTTTTCAAGGATTCCAACAAACATGGATTTTTTTGAAAAAAAAAACAGACATAGATTTTTTAAAAAAATATTTTTACAAGGATCCCAACAGACATGGATTTTTAAAAAAATATTTTTAAGAACCTTAAAATCGTGGGTTTTTAAAACATTTTTTCGAGGATCCTAATAACATGAATTTTTTAAAACATTTTTCAAGAGCCATAACTACTTTCCATCGAAGAGAATTCCAGAAGACCTTCGGCTCTCCTTGATAAAGTTTTTTTTTGCTCTTCTATAGACCCTGTATTTTTTTAAGGACAGGATTGTTTGGTTTTCTGGAGAGAAGTACTACTGTTCTGCTATGAAACGGTACAGCCATAGCAGAACAGTAGTATACCCTTCTTGGAAAATTAGTCATTTTCTCGATACAATTGCAGAGAGTCCTTCTATTGAAGATCGAAGTTTTCCTCTATGGAAGAGGACCCATAAGAGTGGACTTTTCTTAATGAATATTTTTTTTACAGGGATAACAGTCGTGGCTTTTTTCGAATATTTTTGTTCAAGGATTTTTGAACCTTAAAAGTGGATCATAAGAATATTTTTCAAATATTTTTTGAACCTACAATTTTTTCCAAGGACTATTAGAGTCTTAAACGTGGATTTTTTAAAGAATATTTTTTAAGGAACTTTTCAGCCTTAAACGAGGATTTCTTTTGAGCCTCAAACGTGGATTTCTTAAAGAATGTTTTTCCAAGGACTATTTAAGCGCTAAACGCGTATTTTTAAAGAATATTTTTTCAAGAATCTATTGAGCCTTAAACGTGGATTTTTTAAAGAATATTTTTTCAAGGATCTTTTGAGCCTCAAACGGAGATTTTTTAAAGAATATTTGTTAAGGACTCTTTGAGCCTTAAACGTGGATTTCTTGAAGAGTGTTTTTCAAGGACTATTTGAGCCCTAAACGCGGATTTCTCAAAGAGTGTTTCTCAAGAACTATTTGAGCCTTAAAAGTGGATTTTTAAAGAATATTTTTTCAAGGATGATTTGAGCCTTAAATGTGGATTTCTTAAAGAAAGTTTTTCCAAGAACTTTTTGAGCCCTAAAGCCAAGGGCTTTTTGAGCCTTAAACGTAGATTTTTTTAAATAATGTTTATAAGGACTATTTGAGCCTCAAACGCGGATTCCTTAAATAATGTTTTTTCCAGGACTATTTGAGGCTTAGACGAGGATTTTATAAAGAAAAACATTTTACATGGACTATTTTAGCCTCAAACGTGGATTTCTTTAAAAATGTTTTAACGACTATTTGAGCCTTAAACGGGGATTTCTTAAATATATTTTTTCAGGGACTCTTTAAGACTTAAGCGTGGACTTTTTTATGAATACTTTTTTCCAAGAACTATTTGAGCCTTAAACGTTGATATCTCAAAGAGTGCCTTTCAAGGACTATTTGAACCCTAAACGTGGATTTTGTAAAAGTGGTTTTTCAAGGATTATTTGAGCATTATACGTGGACATTTATACAGTAATTTTCAAAGACCAATAATCGTGGTATTTTAAAGAATATTTTATTCTAGGATCTTTGAGCCTAAATGTGGACTTTTCTAGAGTAATTTTTAAACACCAATAATCGTGGAATTTTAAAGAATATTTTTTCTAGGACCTTTGAGCCTAAACGTAGACTTTTTTTAGAGTAATTTTCAAAGAGCAATAATAGAAGAATTTTAAAGAATATTTTTCCATGGACCAAATTAATAATGATCGTGAAACTTTACAAATATTTGAGGGTCTTTTTCTCCTTGCGCTTTAAATTTGTAGAAAATTAATAGCGACTTCTTTAAATATAATTCCATTTAATTAGTTTTATTCATCTCCTCTCCTTGCCCATTCTTTAAATATCTTATTTTTAGTCGAAAAGATTAGATGATGACTTAATTTATGAAAATTGCTTCTCGACACTGTCAATGGATTGGCCTAACATTGAGTTTGATTGCAAGTCAATAAAATAAACTTTAATGAATTTTTGTTAGATAATCAAGACAGTTAGCACCACTTCGCTCACCCACCCATCTATTCCAGCCACCCACCACTTAACTGGAACAAATAACTGTAAATAACTTTGTTTAACTAAAGGAATTTAATTTTGTCTTACTGCCACCAGCCATTGCACCCACAGAAGATTTGTTAAAGAGTTATGTCTTCGCTGGCAGCAGCAACAGCATCAGCATCCCATTGAAATCTCGTAGGCGTTCTACGACCAACTCAAATTCTTTAAGAATTTACACAAGCAGATATTTAAAATATTCCTTTTTGGTTGGCAAAACAAAACAAAAAAACAGAGAGGCCACTAAAAAGTCACTTTGGAATGATGAGAATTCTTGCTGCTCTGGCAGGCGAAGACAAAGGCAACGACTACTTGGAAATTCTTTTGAAATAGAGATTGAAATCCTTAAACTGGGAATTTGCTTTGTTGACTCTCCACGAAAACAAAGCCATGAATGAATATGGAGTTCAAGAAAAAATGACTTCAATGCGTAATCCTCTAGGAAAAACGATACCCAAGGGCCATTGAATTTTATGATGTTGTTTAACAAGAAAGCGAGAGACAACAGGTTTGAGTGCAATTTTTTCCTCGTTTTCTTCTTAGGGGGTGTTTAAACACACACACATTCGCACATTTACACACACATACTATAAGCTTGACATTCTTTTTTTACGACTCATTCCATGGCCGCTTTTTTGTAACCCCAATTTCTCCACTGGGGTTTAGCTTTGGCCAAGAACAGAGCCTGGTTATTCCTTTTTTCTTTCTTTGAAATATTTAATCCGTTTCTTTATTGACGAACAATGTAGGATCTCCTGCCCTTGTTCTTGGAAATCCTTAATATTAAATTAAATAACTTTTTAAACGTTATAGAGCTTCATAAAATGAAACTTTAAAGAAAAAAGTTAATCGTAGAAAAACAGTAGTGTAAAAGTGATAGTTGTGTGAGGTGGGATATATTACACCCTTATTCGTCCTCTATAGATAACAAAAAAAATAGTGGTCAGAAATTAAAAAAAAAGACAGGACACCAATAGGTTTTTTTCATGGAATGCCTGAATGCCTTTTTCCAAAGAAGAGCAGAAAGTCCTCTATATAGAATAACATTTTTCACAGTCGGCCAGAGGATCAGCTCAGTAACAGATAAGAAGCTCTCCGTGTAGATAAATGTGTGATATTTTCTCCAACAGAAGACTATGAGATATTCATTTACAGATGACCATGGGGACTTCCCGCAAAAAAATAGAAGAGCTGAAACCGTTCTCCTTAAAAGTGCAAAGGATTGTCCTATATATGAATATCATCATGTCTACTTTATAAAAGCACAGACAATTATCTTCTTCTAAGACCAGAAGGTCTTTTTGCACAGAGGAGCATGATCTCATCTTTAGCAGAAGACTATGAACTCTACTCTAAGAGAAGACCAAGAGCAGAAGACAAAGAGGACTTTTCTCATAGAGGACCAAGGGTACATCTCTAATGCAAGACCATAAGGATTCTTTTAGCAAAAGCTCAAGAGAATATCATATACTCTTCTTTCATAGAATGCCAAGAATACTTCTCTCATAGAAGACTAAGGAGTATCTCTCAAAAATGACCATGAGTCACAAAAACCCATGAAGTCTTCTCTCACTGAAGATCATAAGTTTTTCTTTTACAGAAGATCATAAGGGGTATTTTCACAGAAGACCATAAGCTCTTCTAATCCAGAATATCATGATATCATCTCTCACAGAAGACCGTAGAGTCCTATCTCACAGAAAACCATGATCTCTTCTCTTGCAAGTTATCTGACACAGGGGAAAAATAAGTATGTCTCAGATAAGACTTTGAGGATTTTTTTATCAGGAAAGATCATAAAATCTTCTTTCATTGATTATCATGAATTACTTCTCACTGAGAACGATTAGTTTTGCTCTCAAAAAAACCCAAGAAGTCTTTTCTCACTAAAGACTATAAGCTTTTCTCTTAGAGGGGATCGTATGGATTTTTCCCATTGCTGGTTTAAGGCCATGAAAACTCCACGAAAACTCCGTGGAGTTTTCACTCACGTTTTCAACAGAAAACCGTGGAGTTTTCACTCACAGAAAACCATGACCTCGCAGAAGACCACAAAGTAGTTTCCCTAAGAACGCTATGCGATCTCCTCCATTAATAAACAAAAAGTATTTTCCATAAAGAACTGGAGCTGATCTTTTTCATATAAATGCGCAGGGATGTCTCCATCGAAAAGTCTTCTCCTTGAAAGAACAGGCCGGTTTCCACTGGAAAAAGCAAAACCTTTTGCCCTATATATGAGAAAAAAGTGTCCTTCATTAAAGAAAATTGTATCTTCAAGAAACGAAAGTAGGAGTGCAAAAGTTTTTATGTGGGACTGCAGATGTTCGTCTCTGCGAGAACCGCAGATCAATAGAATAGTAGAAGTAAGAACGGCAAAAGCTCTCTGTAGGAGGCAGAAGCTCTTCTCTGTAGGACAGAATAAACTTTTCTCTGAGGGAAAGCTGAATGTCTTCTTTGTAGGAGAGCAAAAACCTCTCTCGGTGGGAGAGCAGAAACTCTTTTTCTTGAGAATATCAAAAGCTCTTCTCTGTGGGAAAGCAGAAACTCTTCTCTGCATAATACAACGAGCTCTTCTCTGTAGAATAAATGAAGCTCTGTTCTGTAAAACAGCGGTGCTCAAAACCGTGTTCTAGAACATGAACCGAAAAAAGAGATAATTTAAGAGAAAATTAAAATTCTGTTTTTCTTTATATTTTACGGTTCTATTAAATTGTTTTTAGACACAAATGTTTGCCAAATTAATTTATAAAGCAAATGGATAAATAATATTTTTATAAATAATGACTTAACACTGTTTTGTTCTTGATTTAAATAAGCAAAGATAAATTTGACTGAAAAGATGTATTTTTTCTTGAGCATCGCTGCTGTAAAATAACAGAAACTTTTCTCTGTAGAACACGAGAGGATAGCAAAATATATAGCTCATTATCTATAGGGACATTAAAAACTCTTGTCTATATAGTGGAAGAGGCTATTATCTGTAAGGACATCAAAAACTCGTCTCTATATATAATGACAGATGTTCTTCTCTCTAGAACACAACAAGCTCATGGAAGACCAGAATAAGAATAAGAGACCAACGGTTATTTTCTATATGAGACCAGAAACAGAGACCTGAAAGTCTGCTCTGCAGATGTCCTTTCTCGAAGAAGATATGGAGGTATTTCCCATAGAAAATCAACATCAATTTCCCCCAAAAAGGTACGACGTTTTCGCAAGGAATAACAAAAAGAATTTTCCATAAAACATTTAAAACCTTTTCTTAAAAAATCCCTTCTCTATAAAGACTACAAGATCTTCTTCACAGAAGACCACCAGGTCTTTTACAATAAAAATATTAGAGTATTTTTCCTATAAAATATCAAAAGGTTCTCTTCCAGCAAGATGACTAGATATCTCTCCGAAAATCTGTCTTTTCATAGAACACATAATAGTCTTCCGTCATATGGGGGAAAGGGTAAAATGTTTTCCTTTTTGTGAGTCCTAAAAATGTGCAGGTTTGTCCTCTTTAAGAAAAAGCTTAATATCCTCTTCATAAAGATCAAAAAACTATTGTCCAAAAAGAGACAAAGCTCTTCTAGAAAAACATAAGATCTATTAACAAGTAAAAAAACAGTAAGTTCGGCCGTACCGGACTTTAAATACCCTCCACCATTTGGAACGAATTAAAAATTTTTCAAAAAAATGAAATCCATTAAAAATTCTGTTAAAATCTTTAAAATACCTAACATCGAAAGGGGCCGATATTGTGGACCTATATAGACAAATCTATGTTTGGGGGTAAAGTACTCACAAGGGACTGATGGCTAAAATCATCAAAATACCGAATATTGGGGGGTACCGTTATATGGGGGATATACGATATCGTTAACCTATATAGAGGATTCTCTGTCAGGGGGTAAAGTGCTCACAAGGAACCCCTTGTGTGGAATTTCAGCCAATTCCATTGAAAAATGTGGCTAAAATCATCAAAATGCCGAATATCGGGGGGTGCCGTTATATGGGGGGACCTATATAGACAATTCTTTTCAGGGGGTAAAGTACTCACTAGGGACTCCTTGTGTGGAATTTCAGACAATTCCATTGGAAAATGTGGGTAAAATTATCAAAATGCCGAAAATACCGTTATATGGGGGCTATACGATATCATAGACCGATATAGCCCATCTTCGAACTTAACCTGCCTGCAAACAAAAGAGAGATCTGTGCAAAATTTTAGCTTCCTATCCTAATTCGTTGTTACTGTAGCGTGATTACAACAGACGGACGGATGGACAGGGCTAAATCGTTAGAATTTTCCGCTGATCAAGAATATATATACTTTGTTGGGTCTAAAATGATTATTTCGATGAGTTACAAACGGAATGACGAACTTAATATACCCTCCATACTATGTATGGTGGAGGGTATAAGAACATTTTCTTAAGGAATATCTAACGGTGTTCTAGTTTGTCTTCCTTCAGGTTTTTTTCTCTTCTTTGTTCCAAGGAAGACCAGAAGATATTTTCTGAAATCCAGAAATCCATCTTTTCTAGAAGACATGATCCGAAGGTCTTCTATCTTTGAAGGTCAGTAAGTTTACTTCTTTACTTAAAAAAAAAAAATAGAATTTCTTCTTTATTTGAAGACCAGAAGATCTTCTCAATATGGATTCAAATATGAAGGATCAGATGGTTTCGTTTGTAAAGACCAAATATATTTTTTTCAGAATTTTCCTTTATGAAAAAACAAGAATTTATTCTTAGACAGGACCTTAGTTTGGTTCTTTGGAGTTTCTCCTAGAAACCCATTTCAAATCATTTGTAGAAATACTCTATGATTAAGCTTGAATTAAGACAGTCCACTTCCCATTGCGACTCCCTACTTCAGCTAGTCTATAGGAAGAAGACTTGCAGATTGTCTTAAAAAAGATGGCAGCTCCGTGCTGTAAATCGCCTTCAAAGTTATGAGATCAGCTCGCCCAAAGAATACTCTCTGAGGGACAGCTCGTATACAGAATGAAGACTACCTCCTACAGCTGGTCTATGGATAATTTTTCAAGGACTATTTGACCCTTAAACGAAGATTTTTTAAAGAAAAATTGTTAATGGCCTTTTAAGCCTTAAACTTGTATTTTTAAAGCATATTTTTTCAAGGACCTTTTGAGCCTTAAACGTGGATTTTTAAAGCATATTTTTTCAAGTAACTTTTGAGCCTTAAACTTGGATTTTTCAAAGAATATTTTTTCAAGGACCTTTTGAACCTTAGACGTGGATTTCATAAAGAATATTTTCCAAGGACAGTTTCAGCCCTCAAAGTGCTTTTTCTTAAAATAAAATATTTTTTAAGGACTCTTTGCGCCTTAAACGTAGAGTTCCTAAAAGACAATATTTTTTCAAGGACTATTTGAGCCTTAAACTTGGATTTTTAAAGACTATTTTTCAAAGGACTATTTGAGCCTTAAACGTGGATTTTTTTATATTATTGCAAAGATCTTTTGAGCCTCAAACGTGGATTTCTTAAATAATGTTTTCCAAGGACCATATAAACGATAAACGTGAATTTCCTAAAATACAATATTTTTCCAAGGACCATTTGAGCCTTAAAGGTGGATTTTCAAAGAATATTTTTTGGCTCCATGCTGTCAATCGCCTTCAAAGTTATAAGATCAGCTCGCCCAAAGAAGACTATCTGAGGTGCAGCTCGTATACAGAATGAAGAGTACCTTCTACAGCTGGTCTATGTAGTAAGAACTTTTAGATAAACCCCAAACATTGGCTCAGTTCTGTCCCTCACCTTAAGATCGACGACACCCTTCTGTTGCTACACATCCTCTATAAAAATACTTTCAGCTCAATTTCGTACTTTAAGACTCTATTTGCCATTTACAACACAAAATGTGTCCTGATGAACATTATCTAGTCCTGCGACGAACTAGATAATTTTCAAAAAAAAAATCATTCACACCTCCGCCTCCCCTCCTCACCCAAAAAAATACAAATCTAATATTTCACCTTGAATTACAATGATTAAGTTCGCTCTATTAATGTTATTATTATGATTATTATTACAATGATTTATGTACTTGTACAAAATGTAATTGTGTGTGTGTGTGTGCAGGTGTGTGTGTGTGAGAGTGAAAGCATTGTGGAATTTCCTCTTCTTTTGTTCTTCAAAAGAAAAACTCATTAAATTTTTTTTCTGTTCAAATAAATGAAGGAAATGTCAAGCATTTCCATAGAGTCCGTGCCGGTACATAATTTGTTATCAGAATTTGTTGTTTGCAACCTCATTCAGGCGTGTCATAACTTTCTTTTTTTTTGTCGAATCACACACATTCTTGAATGCCTATGTGTTTGTATTTCATCTTTATTTCCGTTTTCTTGAATGTGTTTTATGCTGGCAATTTTCGTTAACAATATTTTTTTTTGTATTTTCTCTTTTTTCTCCCTTCTTCTGCCCCCATCTTCGTTTGTTTATTTAAGGTTCTTGGAAACTCGGCTGGATTTTGTGTGATATCTGGATATCGTTGGACGTCCTGCTGTGTACAGCATCAATTTTAAGTTTGTGTGCGATTAGTGTGGATCGGTAAGTATCTAAAAATGTTGAGATTTTTTTTTTTGACAATTTATGAAGCTAATGCCGTTCAAGAAGTTAATGAGGGTATGTTTATTATGGAACATAGCAAAGGAACAGGAGTGTCCCTATTAAACATAACAAATGAGGAGTCATGTAATACTACAATCTCTAAACGGTTGGGCAAATTAAAGGAAGGGAAATGTTAACGATGTATAAACCTGTTCTATTTATTAGATTAGCTGTGAAGATTACTTCCACGAGGAGAATCATAACCTCAAATAATTATTAAATATATGAAGATGTTTAAATAACCACCAATTAAATAAATTGATTATTCAGAATCTCGAATTGGCAATTATGTTAGATATATTTTAATGTGTTAGAACGGACTCGATATCTTAGCTGAGTTTTTAGACAGTTTACAGCATTTTATGTTGCCAAATTCGATGGTCAGGATGCTTTCCTCATGCTATGTTTGCTTATGCAATGGTGGCGCCCAATCGAATTCTACTATACCTTTCTGATCAAACCTCTTAGAAAGCGATAGTTTTAATTGAAATTGGATAATTTATAGTGGAAGATGTTAGATAAGGAAAAGAGGAGTCGCCTACTAATCGGGCACGAAAAATTAAAATATGACGAATCGCTTGTTTTGGATAAAAGCCAAAACTACAAATAGTTTTCCAGATGATCTTGTGTTGATGGAAATATTAAGATATGTCATGTCTGAATGGATCTGAATTTCAATTTCGCGTTTTATGAGCTTCATGGATATTCAAAATGTTTACCCTTTGTGGGGGAGGTACCAGAAGGAGTGGACGGATATATACAATCTTCACAGCAGATCTTGTGTTAGTACAAATAATGGGATTTGTGAAATACGGATTTTGGTTATTCGAAACTTTGACCCTTGTGAAGGAGGTACCAGAAGAAATTGTCCGATCTCTATTATCTTTATAATAGATTTAGCGTTCATAGAAATATTGAGATATGTTAAGTTAGAATTGAATAGAATGTTAATTTCGCGTTTTATGAGTTTCATGGATATTCAAAATGTTGACCGTTTGTAGTGGAGGTATCGGAAGGAGTGGACGGATGTATCCCATCTTCACAGCAGATCTCGTGTTAGTACAAATAATGGGATGTATGAAATATGAATAGAACCGGATGATTATTTGTGGGGGTGGTAACAGAAGGAATGACCCGATCTATATCATCTATGTAACAGATCTGGTGTTGATAGAAATATTGAGGCGAACCAAGTCAGAGAGGTACCAGAAGTGCGACAAATATATTCCAGAAGTAACCAATATATCCATATTCACGCCAGTTAATAAAAATGTTGTGATGTGTGTAATTTGAAGAAAATCGGACCGATATTGGCGATCTTCGAACTCGATCTGAATTTGACAATAATATTCCGATGTACCAAGTTTGGACAAAGTCGGATACTCCCTTCGAGAGTTATCGCGCGCACCAGCCAAACAGACAGACGGAAATGTCTAGACCGACTCCCAATATCCTGAAATGGATTTCGTCCAAAGAGACCTCGTGTCTAAAACCATTATTTCGGTAAGGCTCGTTTTGACCGTATCAAATGACTTATACCTTCTCTAGCCACATTGCTGAGAATATACAAACTATGGTCAACTTCACTCGCCAAATATTATCCGATGACAATCGAAAATTGTAGGTTCTTCCGTGTCCTTAACTATGTCCTCAGAGCGACTACCAAAATCGGGAAAGAATTCTTTTTTGGTTCATTTCAAAATATTAATAAATTTTCGATCATCTTTACCAACAATAGACATCTATTCCGAATCGTACCCTTACACCATGCAAAATTACGTGAAGATCAATACATAATTGTGATCTGTAGGGTTTTAAAAACTAAAATTGTTAGACAAACACAATTGTTAGACAGAAAGCACAAAATGTCGGAAATAGTATCAAATTTAAAAATAATTTTATATTTGTTCGAATTGGTCACCTTTGACACGAATTATGACCATCAAACGGCCAATGAAACCGTCACACTCTGCCCGAATGTTGCTCTGCGGTAAAAAAGTGCCAAAAAGTGGAAGAACTTACACCGCAACAGTAAGAAAATAGGCTCAAAAAACCTAAAGAAAGTGGCCGAAAGTGGTGAACTTCCGAATTTGATTTTCTCCGATGAGGAAACATTCGTTTTCCAGCAGTTTGTAAACAAACAAAGTGATCGTGTTTACTTGCCAAAGAGGTCAGCTGAAAATGTGCACCTGCGATTGGCCACCAGAGCTCAAGCGCCGGCCATGGTGATGGTGTGGGCCGCCATAACAGCTGATAATCGCTCTCCGCTCGTATTAATCGACCGTGGAATCAGAATTAATACCGAATATTATCGCGAAAATATTCTGGAGGGCCTTAGGTACAGGACTCAGCACGCGGCACCCAAGAATGGTTACAAAATGAGATCCCTCGCTTCATTTCCAGCGCCCAATGGCCACCAAAATCTCCGGATACCAATCCTTTGGACAATTGTGTCTGGAGTATTTTGAAAAGGAAGGTTGGCACCAAAAAATACCAAAGTGTCGATTACCTCAAGAAAATTCTTCGCCGGTAACGGGCCAAAACACCGCAGAGCAACATTCGGGAAGCGTGTGACGGTTTCATTGGCCGTTTAAAGGCCCTAATTCGTGTCAAAGGTGACCAATTAGAACAAATCTAAACTTATTCTAAAATTTGGATGCTAATTCCGACATTTTTTGCTTTCATTCAATAAAATTTCTAAAAATGATGGCGTTTGACTTTGTTGCAGTTTTTTTTTATCTCACCCTGTATATATTGGTTCCCGTCGATTTAACTGTTCTCTTGCCTTTGTGGAATATATTCAAGTTATTTTGTGTGCTTTTTGAAGGCCCTCAAAACTGAAGCCGATCTTTTTTTTCTATGGAAAAAATGCCACAAAGCTAATTCAGATTTTTTTTATAGAAAAAATGCCTCAAAACTAAGACCGATTTTTTGTATAGTAAAACATCGACCTCCTAACTGAGGGCAGGGAGTTTTTTTCTATAAAAAAAATCGAGGCCTCAAAATTGAGGTCGGGTATTTTTTCTATAAAAAAAATCGAGATCTCAGGCTGTGGTCGAAGAATTATTCTATAGAAAAAAAACATCGAGGCCTCAGACTGAGGTCGGGAATTTTTCTATAAAAAAAAAAAACATCGAGACCTTAGAACTAAGGTCCCGAATTTCGGGAAGTCCCATTATAAGACGTTGACCTACACAGACAATTTTATGTCTTAGGCTGTAGTATCCGTTACGAACTTCATATACCAAATTTGAAACAATTCCGGGAAATAATGTCGCTAAAATCATCAACACTGAATATCGGAAGGTACCGTTATATGGGGGCTATACGAAGGCGAAGACCTACATGGTACATTTTCAATACCAAATGCCCTGCAGAAATAATATAGATTTGAGTAAAATTTTGTCAACCTACTTCAATTCGTTCGGAAGCTACAGTGATTTCCACAGATGGACGGACAATAAAATTACAAAAAAATGTAAAAATTATGGCGTTTGACTTTATTGCAGTTTTTGTTTATCTCACCCTTTATATCGGTTCCCATCTATTTAACTGTTCTCTTGCCTTTGTAGAATATATTCACATTATTTTGAAGGCCCACAACTGGTCGATTTTGTAAAATTTGTATTTCAACTAAATCCTATATTCCCTTCGGTGGGTTGTGACTAGAGCTGTGCCATTCTAGTTCATAGTTCAGAACACCAGTAAAAGTATGAGTGATTTCATACATTTCATATATTTCATATCACTCATACGCAGAGTTTTCATACAAACGACTGGAGTCTCCGGTACTAGATAAGGGACTAGTTCGTTCCATACCTCATCCTAATCGGGTCCTTAGAATGTAGGGCCCTCCTCCTTTGTCGAATATTAATTTCCAGTTGAAAATAGCCATGATGTAGGGTATTTTCACACATTTTAACCAAATTTTCTTGTCTGTGGCAATTTGGTAGATGAGCAAATATATATCCCCCACCTCTTTTTTTGTTAGATTCACATACCTGCAAATAAATAATTAATTTATCTAAATACATATTTGTGTTTATTTTTCTCCCCTCAAACCACTTTGCATATTCTTCATTATCCTCTTATTCTTCATTTTTCTTCTCGTTTACAGATACTTAGCTGTCACCCGGCCCTTGACATATTCACGCAAACGTCGCTCCAAACGTTTGGCTCTCATCATGATACTCATTGTTTGGGTACTGGCTTTGGCCATTACCTGTCCGCCCATTTTAGGCTGGTAAGTAGAGCAAAAAAGCAAACAAAAAATACACCTAAATACGCGACAAGAAGAACAAACATTTCGTGTGGGGGGTATCACAAATGACAATAATATCCTTTGTTCATTTTGCGGGATGACTCCTTTGCAGGATTTTTTTTTTTTTTTTTTTGAAAATTTGATTTAAATTTATGCAAATATTTGTTGTTGTTCGGGTTTTCTTTTACACATTTTCTGCGCCTGTTGATTTCAATTTTCTGGAGCCTCCATGAAGGAAAAAAACCTAAACAAAAGAATACAAAACCAAATTAGTGAATATCTTTGTGGTGCTGGTGATGGTGTTGGCTGTGATGCTGGTGGTGTTGATGTCTACGAAAATTTAATGATTTCCATTATTTATTTACATAATGAATGTCTAATTAAAATTTGTTTACGTTGCAAAGATTCCGTCCAGATTAGGCTACGGTGTTAACGATGCGGCATTTTGAAAGTAATTAATATTGTAATAATAATTCTTTGTTATTTTATAATTTTGGCAGAGAAAATATAAGGCTCTTTAATGTTTAAAGTGGATGCAAGGTGAAGAATGATACAGGACGAAATTAACATTATTTAATAACTTTTAAAATTTTGGTTAAATAAAACAAAATTTCAACAATTTTTCTGAATTTTTTTTTTTTCAAAAAAAAAAAAAAAAAACTCAAAACTGGGACCGGAATTATTTTCTATAGAAAAAATTCGGCCTCAGTTTTTAGGCATTTTTTCTATTTTTTATTTTTTCTAAAATACCTCACAACTGAGGTCGAATTTTTTTCTATAGAAAAAAATGCCTCACAACTGAGGTCGAATTTTTTTCTATAGAAAAAAATGCCTCACAACTGAGGCCGAATTTTTTTCTATAGAAAAAAAATGCCTCCGAACTGAGGTCGGAATTTTTTTCTATAAAAAAAAAAATGCCTCAGAACGGAGGCCGAATTTTTTTCTATAGAAAAAAAATGCCTTCAGACTGAGGCCGAATTTTTTTCTATAGAAAAAAATGCCTTCAGACTGAGGCCGAATTTTTTTCTATAGAAAAAAAAAATGCCTTCAGAACTGAGGACGAATTTTTTTCTATCGAACAAAATGGCGGAAAAATGAGGTCGGAATTTTTTTCTATAGAAAAAAATGCCGGAAAACTGTGGTCGGAATTTTTTTCTATAGAAAAAAATGCCGGAAAACTGAGTTCGGAATTTTTTTCTATAAAAAAAATGCCGGGAAACTGAGGTCGGAATTTTAAAAAAATAAATGCCTCAAAACCTGAGGCCGAATTTTTTTCTATAGAAAAATAAATGCCTCAAAACCTGAGGCCGAATTTTTTTCTATAAACAAAATGTCTCAAAACCTGAGGCCGAATTTTTTTCTATAAAAAAAATGTCTCAAAACCCGAGGCCGAATTTTTTTCTATAGAAAAAAATGTCTCAAAACCTGAGGCCGAATTTTTTTCTATAGATTAAAAATGCCTCAGAACTGAGGACGAATTTTTTTCTATTGAAAAAAAATGCCTCAGAACTGAGGACGAATTTTTTTCTATTGAAAAAAAATGCCTCAGAACTGAGGACGAATTTTTTTCTATAGAAAAAAATGCCTCAGAACTGAGGACGAATTTTTTTCTATAGAAAAAAAAATGCCTCAGAACTGAGGACGAATTTTTTTCTATAGAAAAAAAAAATGCCTCAGAACTGAGGACGATTTTTTTTCTATAGAAAAAAAATGCCTCAGAACTGAGGACGAATTTTTTTCTATAGAAAAAAAATGCCTCAGAACTGAGGACGAATTTTTTTCTATAGAAAAAAAATGCCTCAGAACTGAGGACGGAATTTTTTTCTATAGAAAAAAATGCCTCCGAACTGAGGCCGGAATTTTTTTCTATAGAAAAAATGCCTCAAAACTGAGACCGAATTTTTTTCTATAGAAAAAAATGTTTCAAAACTGAGGTCAAATGCCTCAAAACTGAGGTCGGAATTTTTTTCTATAGAAAAAAAAATGCCTCAAAACTGAGATAGGATTTTTTTTTCTATAGAAAAATTGCCTCAAAACTGAAGCCGAATTTTTTTCTTTTGAGGAAAAAATGCCTCAATACTGAGGCCGAATGAACATCGACCTCGTAACTGAGGGTGAGTAAAAACCTCATCGATCTCAGAACTGAGTTCGACGAATTTTTGTATAGAAAAAACTAGCTAGACCTCCGGACTGAGGTCGGCGAATTTTTTTCTATAGAAAAAAATTAACTATTTTTTCTATAGGAAAAAATTAGCTAGACCTCCGGACTTAGGTCGGCGAATTTTTTTTCTATAGGAAATAATTAGCTAGACCTCCAGACTGAGGTCGGCGAATTTTTTTCTATAGAAAAAAAAAAAATAGCTAGACCTCCGGACTGAGGTCGGCGATTTTTTTTTTCTATAGAAAAAAAAATTGCGAGACCTCCGGACTGAGGTCGGCGAATTTTTTTCTATAAAAAAATAGCAAGACCTCCGGACTGAGTCGGCGATTTTTTTTTTCTATAGACAAATCATCTACCGAACTCAAACCTGATGAGTTTTTCTCTATCGAAAAAACATCCGGAACTTAGATCTGATGTCGGTGATTTTTTTTCTATTGAAAAAGACATCCGGACCAAAGAACTGAGTTCGGCGATTTTTTTTTTCTGTAGAAAATTTTTCTATAGAAAAACATCGCCTCTCGATTGAGATCGGATTTTTTTCTATAGAAGAAAACATCGATTTTTAAAACTGAGGTCGTGCAAATTTTTCTATACCAAAATATCCTGACCTTTAAACTGAGGTCGGAATTTCTTCAGTTTTATTATTATTATTTTTTTTTTAATCTTTAATTTTGTTTAATTTTTTTTACCTGGCCATCTGTCAATCTTTTCCTTTCTCCGAACTTGAACAAAGGATTTGTCTGTGAATGAAATACGATATGTGGTCCTGTATAAGGATTCAATTCTCAGTTTTGTTTTGTCCTCTTCAATACATTGGCTTTATTCTATTTCAATTGGTTTTTTTCTCTCCCTCTCTCTTTGCAGGTATGAACCAGGTCGCCGTGATTTAAGTGAATGCCGTTACAATCAGAACGAAGGATATGTGATATTCTCGGCCATGGGGTCCTTCTTCATACCCATGGCCGTGATGATTTATGTCTATGTCAGGATATCGTGTGTGGTGGCAGCACGACATGATAATATGACCGATATTAGTATACATAATAATAAGGTGGGTCGAGGTCAATCGTATTTCAAAATATTAAATTTAATATCATTTCCCTTTCCCCCTTTTTTTGCAGAAATTCAAACGTTACACATCGGCCGATGTGGAAAATGAATTGGATCCCGATATCTCGGAATTAGATTTAAGCTCTGGACAAAAGAAACAGGCCGCTGCCCGCACTCTCTCCAATCAAACGTTGGCCAAGGAGTTGCACGAAATAATGGCTTCCGATAATGAGGTCACCACCCAATGTCATTCGCTGTTGGCCACACCATCCTCGGCAACGGTGCCATCGAATAAAAACGGTTGTTATGAACTGACCAGGGCCTCGTCAATGCGGCGTACACCCACCGGCTCTTCGAACATGACGCTCATGACGACCACAACGACAACGGGTGGTGGTACTGCAACGGCCAGTACAAATATCGAAAATCCCTGGACATTTGCCCCTAATCCTTCCACAACAACCACCTCCACCACCACATCATCCTCATCCCAGCCACACTACCAACAACACTCACATCCCAACAAAGCCATGCGTACGCACAGCATACGCCACCAGCACTATATGAGTGCCCCGCCAGCCACCCTATTGGCGGTCACCTCCGACATCATGGCCCCAGGCAACAATGTTGCCACCTCAATACTGCGTCAACAGTCACAACCCATCACCAGCATGACGGCCGTGGTCAGCCGTTCGTCCCATCATTCGCACGGCCACAACTACACCAAATCTCTATCGAATCGCATTACTTCGCTGAAGAAGGAGAACAAGACCACCCAGACGCTGAGCATTGTTGTGGGCGGCTTTATTGCTTGTTGGCTGCCGTTCTTTGTCTATTATCTGATAACACCATTCCTGCACGAACACCAGGTCAGTCGCACCCTGGCCAAGGGTTTGACTTGGCTCGGCTGGTGCAACAGTGCCATCAATCCATTCATCTATGCATTCTATTCGGTTGACTTTCGCGCCGCGTTCTGGCGTCTGACCTGTAAGCGCTTCTTTTCGGCTTCCAACAAACCGCAGTTTCCAGGCAACACAATGTCGATACGACGATAGTTAAGAGCACCCCTGTACGATTAAGTGTTTTAGGAATGATAAAAAAACAAAAACCTAAGAAAAAATTGAAAAAAAAAAAAACAGAAAAGGAAAATTATTAGACTTAAGACTCAATTCAAGTTAATAGAAGTAGATGAAATGAAAAGAAAAACCAAAAAAATAATAAAAACAAAAACATAAAATCGCAAATCTTACATTCATGAAAATTGGAAAAAAAGAGGATTATGTGCGTTTTTTTTTTCATTTCAAAGCAATTGGGAATTATCGAAATTAAATGAGAGGTAAGTAAGTAAGCGCATTGGAAAATGGCAACATGCAGTTGAAGTAATGAAGAAAATTCTCAAAGGAATATGCAGGTAGGAAAAAACTTGGTATCTGTCCCTTAATATAAAATATGGACCTGCATCAGGGCTGAGGAATTTTTCCAAAAAAAAAAAAAAAAAAAACAAGTAAAATAGTATCAGTCAGGTGTTGCCGGCAGATGTATACCCCCAGCCCTGAGTTATGATTATTCAAACTGTTAACCCTATATGAGGGAGGTTCTAAAGCAGTTGGACAATATTGCCCAATTCGTATCTGACCTAAGGCTGATAAAAATATTACAACGTGCCAGATTTGGACTATTTCGACTAATTCCTATACCTTATATGAGATTTTTATAAAATTATATTATTTTCATAAAATTATTATTTTTATAAAATTATAAAATATGCGTAAGGTAACAGATATAGCGGACCGAATTAATTCATTTTCATGTTCCATTTAATACAGATAAAATTATTGGTCTTTGCAAAATTTGAAGGAAATCGAACATTTATATCCAATTTTATGCGAAATCATAAATTCCGATATTCAAATCAGATTTTTGGTTAAAAGAAATATGAAGATATAGCAAGTTGTAAAGGATGACCGACTTGTTTCGCAAGTTATGATAGATATAAGTATTGGAAGTAATAACCCTTTGTGGGTGAGGTTCCACAAGAGGTTGGTAGATATATATTATCTTCACAACAGGTTTTGTACCAAATCTGAATGAAATCGGATGTTAATTTCGTGTTTTATGAGCTTCACGGATATTCAAAATTTTGACCCTTTTCTGAGGGGGGGGGGGGGGGGTGTTTGACAGAAGGGGTGGACATATATATTTCATCTTCATAGCAGATCTTGTGTTAGTAGGAGTAATGGAATGTGTTGGAATTTAAAGAAAACCGGATGCCTACTCAAAGTTTTGACTCTTTGTGGTGGAGGTACCAGAGGGAATGGTCCGATCTCTACCAGCTTTACAACAGATCTTTTGCTGATAGAAATATTGATATGTGCCAAGTCTGAATGGATTCGGATATTAATATCGCGTTTTATGAGCTCCATGGATATTCACGACTTGGCCCTTTGTGGGTGAGGTACCTGAAGGAATGGACCTACATACTCCATATTCACACCACATCTCATTTTATTAGAAATATTGGAGGAATATTTTTAGAGAATTTGATACTCAATTCGCATTTGAGGTATCAGAAGGGGTTGGCAGATATATTTCATCTGCTCAACAGGTCTTAAAGCAAATCTGAATGAAATCGGATGTTACTTTCGTGTTTTATGTGCGTCATGCATATTCAAAATGTTGACCCTTTCTGGGGGGGGGGGGGAGGGGGGTGACTGAATGGGTGAACATGTTTATTTTGTGTGTAATTTAAAGAAAACCGGATCCCTTTTTTTGGATTTTATGATCGTTTTGGTTATTCAATGTTTTGACCCTTTGTGGAGGAGGTACCAGAGGGAATGGTCCGATCTCTATCATCTTTACAACAGATCTTGTGTTGATGGAAATATTGAAATGTACAAATCTGAATGAAATCGGATTTTAATTTCGTGTTTTATGAGCTTCATGGATATTCAATTTTTTGACCCTTCATGGAGGAGGTAGCAGAAGTAGTGGACCGATATATCCTATTAATAAAAATATTGTTAAGTGTTTAATTTGAAGACAATCAGACTCTTACATTTCATTTTATAAGAGTTATAATTATTCAAAATTTTGAACCCTTGTGGGGTAGGTACTCAATGAAGTGGACCGATACAGTGCTAGGTCAGCACTGATGAAAATATTAGGATTCGCAATGGTGGAGAAAAATCGAATTATCCTTTTACTTTCTGTGCAGTAAATTATTTTCTTTGAAAGTGTTGAGATTTTGTGTGGGGTGTACCAAAAGGAGTTTACCGATATTGCCCATCTCCGAACTTGATCTATGTTTGACAATAATATTACGATGCACCAAGTTTAGATCAAATCGGATGCTACCTTCGAAATTTAGTACAATTTGTAGTTGGGAGATCAACAAGGGTGGAATCTTAAAATTTGGAATTGGAATTACTGTTGGAGTGTAGGATTGGGGTATGTAGGAAGCTTTGGAAATTCCTATTTAAGTGTACTAAATGGTACTAAATTTGATACAAATTGAAACTGCTATGAACCGTTGGAACTGGAATTCTGAAATTAGGAATGAGAGCCACGGATAGAGTGCAGGATAGATGCACCAAAGGATTTTGAAATTCGGGTTTTGGTAAAATTCCTACTTAAAGAGTACGAAGAGTACTAAAATGTTACAAAAAATGAATATTTTGTGTTAGACAAACGAAATGAACTTGAATGTAGAAATTTGGAATGAGAGTCACTGATGGAGTACATTATAGATTTCCGTAATGTGTACCACAATTCCACGAAAAGTACTGAATTGTACGAAAAGTACTATATTTGGTACTGGGTGAAGGGATTGAGATACAATTCTGACATTTTATATTTAGATTTCGGATGCTATTTGTGTTTGAGGTTTGGCTAATGCGTCCTATATATTTGTACGAATAATACTAAATGGTACTAAATTTGGTATTGGGGGTAGGGGTATCTGAAATTGATACATAAAGGTGGTTTTGGAAATGTGTACTATAATTATACGAAAAGTACTAATTAGTACTAAATTTGATATTGGGTGAAAGAATAGAGCTGAAATCCCGTTATTTGTTATTGAGATCTCTATTGGTATCTGATTCTGGAGAGGTAGGTCGATATCTATCGTTTTTACACCGGAACTTGCGTTAAAAATATATTGGGATTTGAAGTGAATATGGTGCTTCTTTCGTATTTTATGAGTGATATAATTATTCAAAATTTTGGTCCGTTGTGGGGGATGTACCATTAGAAGGTCCGATACATTTCATTTTCGCTGCAGATCTTGTGCTAGTAGAAATATAGGGACGTGGCGATTTCGAAAGGAATATGATGTTCATTTTGCGTTTTACGAACTTCATGGCTTCGCCGTTGAGGGAAAGGTACAAAAAGGAGTGAACGTATGTATTCCAGTTTCACTCCAAATCTACTATTAATAAAAATATTTGAATGTGTGAAATTCGAAGACAATCGGACTCTTATTTCCCATTTTATAAGAGTTATAATTATTCCAAATTTTAACACTTTGTGGGGGAAGGTGTCAGAAGGACTGGGCCGACATATTTCGTCTTCACACCAGATCTTATGCTAGTAGACATATTGGGATGTGGCGAGTCTGAGATTAATCGTATGCTCATTTCGCGTTTCACGAATTTCATGGTTATTTACAGTTTTGACCCATTGAGGGAGTGAACGGATATATTCCAGCTTAACCCCGGATCTACGTTTAATTAAAATATTTGAATGTGTGAAATTTGAAGACAATCGGACTCTTATTTCCTATTTTATAAGAGTTATAATTATTCCAAAAGTTGACCCTTGCCAGTTTCCAAAAGGAATGGATCAATATACTCCATATTCACACCACATATATTTTTAGTAAAAATATTGAAATGTGTGCAATTTTCAGATAATTGAATACTCAATTCGCAATTTTGCACCGTTTTCGTTATTAAAAATTTTCACCCTTTTCTGGGGCGAAGTCCCCGAAGGATTGAGCTGATATCTATCATCTTCTCAACAGATTTTATGTTGGAAAAAGTATCGAGATGTGCCGAGTTTCAAAGGAATTGAATGCTCATCTCTCGTTTTACGAGCTTAATGTTTTGACCCCTTGTGGGGGAGGTACCAGAAGGAGTGGGCCGATATATCCCATCTTCACACTATAAATGTTTTTGGTAGAAATATTGGGATGTGTTAAGTTTTGAAGAAACTGACTCTTATTTCACATTTTATAAGAGTTTTAGTAAGTCCAATTTTGGAACCTTTGTGGGGGTGTTACTTGATGGAGTGGCTAATATTGTCCATTTTCGTACCTGACCTAGCGTTGATGCAAATATTTTGATTTTTACAGTTGGAGTAAAATCAGATCATCCTTTCCCTTTTTTGAAATAAAATATATATATATATATTCTTTTTTTTTTTTTTGAAAATATCGCCTTTTTGTGTGGTGAGGTACTAGAAGGGATGGACCGATATTTTTCATCTCCGTACTCGAATCAATTTTAATAATAATATGACCAGTTAGATAGACAGACAGACGGACGGACAGACACCTCTAGATCGTCTTTAAAATTTTTGAAATGGATTTGGTCCATAGAGACCTTGGGTCTAAAACCATTATTTCGGTGAGGCACGTTTTGGCCGTATCAAATGATCTATACCCTCCACAGCGGTTTGGCTGAGGGTATAATTAACAGAGTACTCGGCAGGAGTAGAAACTTTAATGACTGACTATCGAATCCTTATTATAGAGTTTTCTAAGAGCTTTCATCGACGAGACTTCTACGAGTAATTTCTTCCTCTTTTGCTTAACCTTAAGATTTTGGTTACTCCATCTCTCGATGTTTACACAAGTGCTTTCCCAATTTGCATTCAACATTGTCTGAACATGTGACTGCTCACATAGTATTCATGCATATTTCAAAATTCATAGTATGCATTTCAAACACTTACATGGTAGATTTGTCGGAAATCTCAGCAATCAGCAAATTCTCAGTTACAAAACCATCAATTCGAACATTATGAATAGAAAATTCAATGTTGGATAAATGCATTTATGTATTTGAGAATATTCATGAGCTTTCTTACATATTCTTAAATAACACACACTCACACACATACACACTTACATAACGACATTTACATCATTTACATTTACTTCAAAGTGCTAAGGCCAACATGAGCTTGTCACGTGTACGTAACGTAAATTTTTCATTACCCTGGCTAGCTGGCTGA